TCCTGCCTCTGGCGGGGCTTGGACTGGAAGTGACCCTGCAGCTCTCACGGCTCTGGGACCCTCCGTGTGCAGCTCGGAGCTGGAGCATCGGACCCCGTCTGCTGCTGCTCACGCCGGGCCTTGCCCAGTGGCTGGGGAACAACCAGGCTGTCCGGAGCCCCCTGCACACAGCCGGCAGAGAATTGAACCTAGCACCATCCCTGCTGAAATGACAGGAGGGTCCGGTGCTGTCACCTGCCGGTCACCGAGGGCAATGACCACCGTCCTTCCTACGGACCCGGTCCCGTGGCTCTGTCCTGCTCCGATGGGGTCCTGTACCACCTCTGGGCCTCTTCCAGCTGCGCATTAAGCAGCCCAACTCACGTCTGTCAAATGCAGTCGCTTCCGTCTCTTCTCTCTCCAGGACTAGGACCAGACGTTGCATTTGTCCCCGGATAAATTGTGCCTGTGGTTGTTCTGGAACAAAAATATCCCGGGATTGGCGTGTCCACATGTCACCCTTCTAATCAGCAGCTGAATGCTGTGCTGCTTTCCTGCCTGTGATTGAATGATGCAATGCTGGGGTAACTGTACAGATGTACTAGCAGTATCCTGGGATAAATTGTGACAACTTCTTATCCCGGAAACTTCTTTAGGATTTATCCCAGGATGATAGAAATGGATGTCTGTACGACAGCACTTTGTCCTGGGATTAAACTGGATTATCCCGGGATACATGTGTTGTCTGTTTGCAGCCAAGGTGAGATCTGTGCAGGGAAGAGTGTGTTTCAATGGGGTTTGGGATTTTCTTGGTGCCTGATTTACAGGGTGAGGGCTGGGAAATGCAGCATTGGCCTTTCAAACCCTTCTGGCGGGGCCTGGAGTTTAACCAGGACTATCTGCTTTGCTTTCACTCTTTAGCAGTTTCTCTTCGGCTGCAAAACCCGACCGTGTCTCACTGGGCTCGGGTGACACCTGAGCAAGGTGAGGAGACACGAGCACCTGAGCCTGGGAGAAGGGGAGGATTTAAACCTGCTGCTCTCCAGGCCCCAAGTCCCAAAGACTTTACCGGAGTTAGGATAGAACAAGCTACAGAAAAACGCAGCCAGGAGAAGCAGGGGCTCCCCTGCCTGTCCTTGTACCTGTTCGGGACCCGAGGGTCCTGCCAAAGTTATTCCATGTTGCACAAAAGCCTTAAATACTCAGTGGCCCAAGCTGAATGTGACTGTCCCCATAGCCTGGGAGCTGGCAAGCCCAGGTCCAGGTCCCTGTCACCTGGGGAACACCCTTGACATGTGCCCCTGGTTTCTGTGGACATCAGGAGCCGTTTGTGGGGAGCCGGCTTGTGGGGCTTTGGAGGACCTTGTGGTGCCCAGACTCCAGAAGGGGCAAGAGAGTCCCCCAAACCCTTGGGTGACACAGCAGCTGCCTCCCTGGGCTGCCCACAGGAGCTATGTGTGCAGGGGCATGTTTTGCACCAGCCAGGTCTTCACTGGAAACCCCAGCGGTGCCCGCGGCTCATTGTCAGGGCCCAGAGGATCCCGTCAGGCTTGGATCATAGCACCATTTGCTCCTCTACAGAGAACATGAACTGGGTCCATGAGAAATTCATAGATTTGTAGAAAATGAGGGCGTGAAGGGAGCTCAGGAGGTCACATCTAGTGCAACCCCCTGCTCCAAGCAGGACCAGCCCCAGCTACATCATCCCAGCCGGGGCTTTGTCGACCCGGGTCTTGAAAACCTCCAAGGCTGGAGACTGCAGCAGCAGCTCTGAACATTTTTCCCTGGCCCCTGGACCCACACGTTGCTCTGGCCTGCAGAAATGAACGGCATTAACCGTCCCTAAGCAAAGACACAGGGCAGCCTGCGCTCCAGAGCAAACGGCTTGAAGATTTCCGGTGCCCAGGAAAGGGCTGAGCATGCCGACCCAGCAGCAGCACCTTGCAGAGAAGCCCTGGGAACCACCCCAGCCCTCCTCGCCAAGGGGAACAGCAGCCAGCACTGGTGACGGGGAAGGAGAAGAGACGACCAGTTTGCATGTTCACGCTCACCCTGGGCTTGTGGACCTGAGTGTGACAAAGCGAGCCTAGCTTGGAGCACCAGCCCTAATGACACGATTCCCCAGGGGCTGCGGGCTCCTTCCTGATTTGATAAGCCTGGTTTTCTTGGGGTGCAGAAGAATTCAGGGTTTCAAGTTATAGGTAAATCAGGAGCCGGCGGGTGTGAGACTTGCATCCCTCGCTGCTCCTGCGTCTTCTTTACCAACATAGCTGGGCCTCCCCACTAGCACTGGCTTCCCAATTGCAAAGATTTTTACTACAAAACCCCCCTTGGTTTTGCTTGTGATCTGAGCAGTACATGCCTGTGCCTCTCCCGGCAGGAACGACTGGTTTCGTGAGCTCCGTTGCCCCAGAAAGAGTGGGCAGCAAAGTGGCACGTGCCGCAGGGGAAAGGGTAAGAGACCAACCAGCTGGCTCTCCGGCCCTGCCGCATGCTAAATAATCTCCCGGGCACGACCACTGTTAGGGCGACAGGATGTGGCACGACGAGCAGACCCCTGCAGCTGGGTGCGTGCGGCTTATTCCATAACCCAGCTGCCCCATGGGGCGGGTGGACATGCCCGTTCGTCCTGCCTCTGGATGAGGGTTTATTCACCCTGCCAGGCCCGCAAGGACCCCGCAGTCGGTGTCTCCACGGCCAGGAAAGCAGACGGATCGATGCTTCAGTGCTGCCACCTATTCACCGGGCTCCCACATAGCAGTGCCTGGCTGGGGGCTCGGCAGCTGCGCGGTGCCGGAGTCAACAAATCTGAGCGGCGGATCTCTCAGTCTGGGGTGATTGTATTAATTTATGAGGTGTGTACCATGAAATCAGCTTAAACGTTTCTATAAATGCCGCCACGGCAGCCACCGGGGCCGAGGCGAGCGCTGGTTAGTTTAATAACCTTTCCTTTATTATCTCTGATCCTTAGGAGAGCTTTTACCGTCCTACAACTCATTGGTTTGATGTTCAGAAACAAAAATACAGCCCTGGCTCCATGGCTGGCTCTGGAGGGTGGGAACGCCAGCGGCTGTAGCGAGCTGAGGGAACGCTTTCCCCGCGGCGCGATACGTCACAAGTCCCAATCCCGCCTGGACCGCCCCAGCTTGGCTGACGGAGCTCGTGGCACCGAGTCAGGATGCTGTGCTGGCAGCAAGCTGGCAATTAAAAAAAGAAAAAGCTGTTTATTAAAATGAACCCAACTGCAGCTGGCCTCTGGAGCATTTCCTTTCTGGTTCATTCACACCCCTGCTTATAGACGTAGGCACAAGGCCAGAGCGTCTTTAGGCTGCTACATTGGCGGTGGCAATCTCTCCGTTTGAGGATGAGCTCTACCACGGCTCATTGATGGGACGTGAGGTGTCTTACGAGCCCAGGAGTTGCAGGTCTTTCTGCAGGGGAGAGCAGACCACAGCTGGGATTTCTCCTTTTCCTTTCTCTGCGTTGAGGGTAAGACACCTTACCTCGAAGGGGGATGGCGTTTGGTGGAGGTTGCCATTGGGATCAGTTGGCAGTCAGCTCCTCCCAGGTAGCGAGATATCTCTGAGGGCCTCAACAGCGCTGGGACACAGCAGCACTCTGCTATTCTCTCTATCCCCCATATGCAAAAGGCAGCTGCGATATCCCAGGGTGTGTCCATGATGAGCAGTCATCCAGACGGACACCCGAAAACCAGATGCGAACTCTTTTCTCCAGCAAAATTTCGGACCAGTCTATAGCTCCCTCCTTTTTTCTATTCCCAGATACCTATAGTTTATCCGCAGCAGTGTTGAGTGGAGGAGAGGGGAAATGGTGTCCTGACCACTGCCATTTAGCACAGCAGCTGGGAGGGTCGGTGCCAGGATGTTTGCCTTTTCGGCACGTGTCCTAGTGTTTGCTGTGTGGAGACCACCAGGAAAAGCCGTTCTCTTTATCACAAAGGACTTTGCGAAGTTCTATGTTGGATTTTTTTTCCTCCTCTCCTTGTTGTCTCCATCAAATGCTCAGCGTCCCATGGCTCAGCTCCCTGGAGGAGATGGAGGGATCATGCAGCTGTTGTAACGTGCAGCACACCGCTCTCCACCAGCCACAAAAGCTCCCCTGTACATGGCCAAAGATGATGTAAAAGGGCCTTTCGGTGCTGCAGAAGGCAGCTCTCACTTGTTCCGGTAATGGCAAGGGGTATTTGTGTAGTATAAACCTCGGAGAACCATGGTACAGGCCTCGCTCCTTGCAAATCAGGGCAGATCTCGAAGTAGATATTTAACAAGAGCATTCGTGGGGCAAGTTCTGGCTCAGATCTCTCAGTGAAATACCTGGGGCCCCTTCTGCTTTGCTTTACATCAGAGAGGCTGAAGAGGAGGTAAGCAGGGAGAAAGCATGGTACTGGCTGGGGAAATAACCTACCGCACCTTGTGGTCAGTACAATGGCTGCACTGGTAACTTTAGGTAACATTTCTGAGGCCCGACACCAGATCCGGCTTTGCCAGGAAGTGTCAGGCATTTCCAGGAGCTCGAGCCATACGGTTGCAGTTCAGTCCACCCCTTCTCCACCCTACAAAAGGCAGGAGCCAAGAACATGCAGACAGGTCTGCACAGATGGAACCAGTTCGTTATAAGCAGCCTGCAGTATAACCCACCGTCTGCTTTCACCCCTCATTCCCCACACCAAGAAAACCGAGCAGCAGCACGTTTTCTGTTTAAGGCTCTTGCCATCAAACATGCTTTGCCAGGCAGCCTGGGATGCCTGCGTGTGTGAAGCACACGTGGATCATGGGACACGAGTTGGGAACGAAGCCCAGCCCAGCCCAGCACAATCAGAGGACGCGGCTTCTCCAAGCCCCAGGAGATCTGGGGCCGGGACTGGAGGTAGCAACACGGTTACAGAGTCCCATGCTGACCTTCTGCATGGGCAGCTTAGCAGATGGGTGAATCTACCCATCTGTCCCCCACCGGAGGGCTGGGGTGAGGCGACAACAAAGACGGTCACAAGACACGCACACTTCACATCTTATTTCTTTTTACTCTTCCACCAAAAGCTTTAAAGTCAGATGGCTGACAAGGTTGGAGCCCAAAGAGGAGCTCAGGCCTGCTACCATCCTCTCCAGGCCGTGAGATGAAGCCAGGCTGACAACTCAGTCACACTTCCACACACCACCCTTCCTGAGACCCCATGTTTGATCTGGGGGCCTGGTCTCAAACCCTGTAATGCCCTGGGGTTGGGGCAAGACAGCTGGCGAGAGGAAGAACCATGCCACCCTGCAGAGCTCCCACTAACTGCTGCAAGGTGGCAGGAACGGCAGGAGAGGAAGGGAGACTAAAGATCCCGGTTCTGGTAGACACCACACAGGATGTCTGCAATGGAAGTGATGCATAGTGGGCAGAGACGGTGGTGGGGTCAGAATGGGGGAGACAGCCGGGAAAGCAGCTACCAAAGGGGCAAGAAGGGTTATGCGGCACTCCCCAGTGTGATAGTTTGCTTCTCCCCCAACCCCCTTATTGTGAAACCTTTGCCTCCTTCAAAATCCCAGTGACTTCAACAGGGTCAGAATTGCAACCCCTGCCATGCACGTTACACCAGTCTCCTGTCTCCTTGTCTGACCTGTCCCTCCAACTGGTCCAAAGACCTGTGTTTAGCAATGGCAAGGCCTGCAGAGGAAGCAGGAGTTCTGTGCCATCACCTTCTGGGCAGCTCCGGACTTTACTGACAGCAGAGAAGTGTTGAAGGGAGAGAGGGGCATGGCGAGACAGCAGTCTGGTCCCTGTCTAAGGCAGCACGTGCTGGACTATGTCTCAGAGCAGCTATGAGCCCCCAGTGCAGTCAGACAGGAAGGAGCCACACAGGCTGGTGTAATAGAAGGGGTAGGCCCGAAGGTGGCTGACGTGACCAGAGTCCAAGAAGTCGACCGCCTTCACCTGGACGCCATGCTGCCGCCGTGCCTCAGCCATGTGCTCTACATCACCGGCCTTGATGATTTTGTCAGCCTTGGAGTAGAGATAGAGCTCAGGCCACCTCGAGGGGCCTTTCAGCAGGGCGTCGTAATGGTTCTCATGAAGAAAGCGGGTCAGAGGATACAGCATGATCCGCAGAATCACAACCAGGACAGCAAACACAAGCAGGAGGGAGGACCGGAGCAGCACGTTCGTTGAGGACAAGACCGCTGCCAAGGCACGGAGGCTGCCCAGCACGTTCCGCCTGCCAGGGCTGCTGTCAAAGACGGTGCCTACCACCCGGAGGTACTTGAACTGCCTGTGCGTATGGAGCAGCTCCACGACGTAGCGGTACAGCATGACACCGCCGTTACTGAAGACGTGAAACAGCAGCGGGTTCTTCTCGAGCCTGTGGTCAAAGAGCAGTTGCAGGAGCTGCTGCGCAGGGGTCCGGAGGGATCGGATGCTGCAGGATTCTGAGAAAAACACCATTCTCCAGGGAGCTGTGTAGCGGATCACTGTGCAGCCCTGAGAGGAACAGACAGAGGCTGTCACCAGGGGCTTCACACACCACCCAGCAGGGAAGTGGCAAGACAGAGCTCAGGTTCAGGAGCTTCAGAGGCAAAAACCTTAGACGCTCTAAGCTTGGTAAGTTTGTGAAAAGGGTCAAAGGAGGCAGCTGCCTGTGACAGCAGAGGACTGGACGTGGGAACATAGAGCCACTCTTGGGTTCCTTCATGAACCCACAGGCCCAGCTGGATTCTGGGTGGCCGCTGTGTCGATAGCTCTGGGATACAACAACCCTTCTTCAGGGCCACTGCAGGAAGTTTCTGAGGAGCAGAAACCACCTTGCTCACCTTTGGCACATCTGACACGCTCACAAGGCTACGTGCGTGTGAGAGAAGAATGTCTTCCAGTTCCTGCCTGGTGACATTTTGAGCCCAATAGCATGAGAACCTTGCAACAACCTACCTAAATCACTGCCGATGCTGTTTCCATGGGCGATTCCCACCTAAACCCAAACCCAAACTTCACCTCCAGCTAATAACGTGCAGGTGTTACCAGCCATGATCCCTCTGATCAAGTTCTTCTGTACCAGCTGGATTAAATATTAACAGCAGGGAGGCTGGGTAATACTTCTTAATGAACATTGGCATTTATATTGGAAACATTTTTGGATTCAGAACAAAGTCCATTCCCGCATTTCAGTTTCTCTAGGTCCTAATGCCATCACCCTCAGTCATGCCCTAGGCCAACAAAACAAGGACTTTCCAAAGGGGAAGAGATGATTTAAGGGGTTGGCAACGGGACAGACCGAGTCACAACCTTTCTCCTCTGGGTCACCGCAGCAAACCCCATCCAGGTGGGGAGTGACAAGGCATGACTGCCATCTGGCAGCTGTTCCCCAAAGGAGAAAATGAATTTGGGAGTACCACGCTAATCCCTTGTGGATGTCCCTCAAGCCAGAAGAACTCCCCTAATGAGGATGCTCATTAGTCTTGGCAGAAAAGGCAAGAGTTGAATGAACCACAGGGGAGTGAATTCTTTCTTCAGCTCTTGCATCAGCCCTGCTGGGGCGAGGAGACTGTGTTTTCACCCTCACTGCCCCTGTTAGGAGTGCAGATACATGGAGGATGAAGTCGTGCAAGTTTCACAATCTTCGATTATTTCCGAGGTTTGGATGGGGGAGGAGTTCCTTTTAAGAAGCACTTTCTGCCTCCTACCTGCCCCTACAGCTGGGGCCTTAAAGACAACATGCAGCGAATCTACCGCCGTGCTACGTGAGGATGCAGAGTGCTTAGGGCAGGGGTGGGCAAAACGCGGCCCGGATGCAAACCGCCAGGCCATTCTATCCAGCCTGTGGGGCCCCAAAAAACGTAGAAAAATTAATATTTATCTGCCCCTGGCTGCCTGTCAAGCAGCCCTTGATGGCTTGCCAAAACTCAGTAAGCGGCCCGAAATAACTGCCCGCCCCTGGCTTAGGGCTTCTCTGAACAGAACAGTCCTTTTACCAGCGCACAGGAGAGAAATAAGCCCCAAAACAGCCTCACTGCAGCCCGGGGTCTCGAATGTATTTGAATGATTTCCCGTCCTTGCAGCAGCTGGATAGCAACAGCTCTCACCCCGCCGCTTTACCAGCCCCAAGTCAGCGTCCGTGGTGTTTCGGGGTACCGGGCCGGTGCTCGCGTGACGTCGCTCATCCGGTTTTGTTCGGGATAAACTAGACGGACGCTTGCGCGGGACAGTTTAGACGCCCACGATCCTGCCTGGAGCAGGGGGTGACGGGACGGGACCCCAGGGCAGTAGGGACGAGCTACTCACCCTCTGCCGGTAGACGGTGCTGTACTTCGCCAGATGCTGGTCTTTGCAGCCCCCCCAGCCGAGCAGAACCACCACCGGCCGGGTGCGCTCGCTGCCCCGCTCTGCACCCGCGTCTGAAACAAGCCAGGAGACCAAGCAAGGTGCTCAGCATCAGTCACAACAAGATCCCCCCACCCCCCCAGGGGAATTAGTTAACCCTCACAGCCCCAGGGGGTCTCAACACCCAGCCCCCTCAGCCCCAGGGGGTAGGACAGCCTTGCCCCCACCCCCGCAGAGGTATGAATTAACCCTCTCAGCCCCAGGGGTATCAAACTCCTGCCCCACCCCAGCCAGGAGCATGGCGTAACCCTTTCTACCACAGGGGGATCAGGGCTTCCCCCCTGCAGGAGTATTAATTAACCCCTTCTGCCCCAGGGGAGGGGGTGAATTAACCCCTTGTGCCCCGGGGGCATCAGAGCCTTGCCCCCCACTTTGCAGGGGTATTAATTAACCCCTTGTGCCCCGGGGGCGCGGGTCTGAATTAACCCCTTGTGCCCCCGGGGACATCAGAGCTCTGCCCGTGATCGGGAAGGGGTGCCAGGGACATGCCCCCTACCCGGCCTCCCCCCCGGCGGAGGCTCAATGGTCGCGTCTAGCTGGTCCCCCGCCATGGCCGCCCGCGTGGACTTCCGGCACTTCCGCGTTCGCCACCAGAAGCGGCCGCCCCGCTCCCCGGGCTGTAGCCAATAGGAGCAGAAAGCATCCCCCCCCCCGCCCGTGACTTTTCCCCCGTAGCAACGCGCCCCGAGCCCTTAGCAACGGGACC